TGCTTGCCGGACGGATTCATACTGTGCGGAGCGTTCGCCAGATTCAATTGGCATGGTTTGTGCGTCAGAGGACCAACTTGAGGCAAATGCGCAGGGGCACTCAAAGGGTGCAGGGATCTCCTTTGTGCCAGGCGGCCAGCGGCTGCTCGGCGGTCGCGGTGGCCCTGAGAGAGCCTATCATGCGACTGATGCGCACATGCTACGACGCATCCGCGAAGAAGGCCTGTGTCCAGGCGGCCCTGCCCTAAAGCGTCTTTCCAGCTTGCCCACAGCGCCTTGAGGCCCTGAGGCGCTATTACGGCGCTCTGTGTAAAGACGACTTAAGTGTCTGCTGAACGGACGCGTAGGTTTGTCTGGATTGGAGCTTTGGAGTTCAACGGTCCAGCTGTTTAACTCAGATCTGGATGTGGCCCGTCGCGCAGATGCTTCGAAAATTTTGAACACTTCCTCGACATAGAGGGGGCTGCATCCCGTTATCCTTCGGCGAAGGGGGCTTCGAAGCTGTCGAAGCCTTCGAAGTTGAAGGGTCGGAGGGGGGGGGGAGAAGAGGGGAAGGAGGGAGGGGAGGGGGGGGGGGTGTGAAGGTCTGAAGGAGGTAAGGACCAAGGCTTCGAAGCTTCGAAGCTTCGAAGGTGAGGACGAAGGGAGCTTCGAAGAACAACAAGAAACTGAGGGTTAGAATACTTATTTCCTCTTTCCTTCGATTCTTCTCTCTTTTCGAAAGAAGGGGGCTACGCGGAAGTGATCGTTGGAAGTCTGCCCTGCCTGAAGCACGGAGCTGCGCTTGGGAGAACCCGGCGTAGTAGGGGGGGGCGGTTGACGGGCCGTTTGTACCCGTTTCGATGTAACTGACCCGAAGTGCAGCAAGCTGTCGGGCAGGCGTTGCCACAATGCATTTATCAGCTGCCGCTATTGACTGCTCACAAAATCCTGCATTCGATGGTCTGTCCAACCCGCCGAAGCCACTCAGGTCTGTAAACCAACCGCGTGGCTCTCTGGCCTCGAAGGTCGAGACAAGGAGGTGAATCGGGGTAATTTGTGTTCGGACTTCTCCTAGCTGCACGACAAAGGAAGGGCAGCCCTTCGAGAACCCAGCAAACTCGCTTCATTGGTATGATCCGTCTGAATCCTTCATGCAGGCAGGCAGAAAGTGGCATGATTTCGACTACTTCTCCTGTGTATTTCTTGGCGCAAGAAGGAAATTCCAGCGCACCTCCTCTGGAAGCCATGTGGGCACGTGCAATGACCCACACAAGGCCAGCGTAACGGCAGCACTGAGAAGGCAGAGTACACTGCTAGCCTGCTCTTTACCCTTGTAGTAGCTGCCAGCCACTGGGCGGCCGGATCAAAGAGTTTGCCGTCCAGGCAGCCTGGGGTTGGCGAGGAATGCTGGATTTGCCAGCCAAAACGTTACGTGCCACGATCGTTCCGTGTGTCGTGGCTACAAGTAGCCCCCGATACGCATCATGCGCGTCAAAGGGGAGCTTGTAAGTATCCTTCTCCTTGTTGCCCGGTATGCGAGTGATGCGATTGCGAACAAAGTCATTGCTGGCTGACGTTAACCTATCCACCGTCTCGACATAGGCACGGACCGACTCGTTGCCATGAGCAGTGTACAGGGTAAGTCGACTCGTCAGGCAAGCAACAAGCACTCCGAGAAAAGCACATGAGCGCGTTTTGCCACTGCCAGGCGCTCCAGTAATGAATACGGAAGTGCGATTGGCAGCCAAACCGTAGGAGCAAGCTCCCAGCAGCGCCGCCAGATGGCCATCAGCTCCCCAAAAGGTGTCGCAGAGACACGCCAGGAAGGTGGGGCCCACCGCGAGCGCAAAAATACTTGCTCGGTTCCGCGGGTCGTGTTCCTTGCTCAACGAATCAGGGGGCAGGCGCAGACACTCCGCATGCCACAGCGCAGGAGTCCGGGCGTCCTCTTGGCTGGGCAGCGGAGCATCTGGTAGCGTCGCTAACACGCCGGTCAGTAGCTGCGGAGTCCATTCCTTGCCATAAGTTTGCTCCTCAGCGAGCCAAATTGTGAGGAAGGTATTCAAGGGATTCGTGGACCCTGGGCCTCCGGCTGGCGATGCTTGGTCAGTTTGCGTTTCATGCTTACCCCTGAAAACTTGGCAAACCTCCGGATGAATCAACTGGGCCCATAAATCGTGCCAATGCCCTTTAACAACCAATCCGATGATTAGAACAAGCACGAGGTCCGTGAGAAAACCCGGTAGCCAGTGTGGCTGCCGAATGGCATCAAGAGGTGAGTCTTCCATCGGAATTCCTAATGCGACATGCTGCCGCTCCTTGGGAATGTGCAGCAGTGCATCCCAAAGCGGGGTGGAAGCTCCGCCGGGCAGCACCTCGAGCTGGCTAACTCTTGGTAGTGTGTGTTGGTTCGCGAAATGGCTGTGCTGCTCATCTGTCAGGAGCAGGGCAATGGTGAGATTGACTGGCTGCATTGCTTTGCTCTCGCCCGGGCCGGTGCGGAGCTTTTTAGGGGATAGGAGCTCAATGAACACACCGGGGTATGGGCCCCATTGCCCACCACATCGGGCTCCATGCAAAAAGTGGGAGAACCCCTTGGCACGCCAGAGCAGACAGTTTTCGCATATTTGCAGTGGTTCCCCACTTCAGACCTCGACAGCCAGCTCCACATGCAGATGTGTCGGCGGCGCAGTTCCCGCTCAGCAGACCCGGAGTCGACCGGGTGGAGAGGTCGACAGACGCGCAGTAGCCCACCTCTTGCCCCAGTCGGCAGCGGTCCAGGCAGGCATCCCAAAACGCCAAGGCGCTCCAAATTGCCTGGCCACACATCGAGGACCTTGTAAACGCACCTCTCGTCCTCGCGTACCCCACATGGTTGCGTGCGCAAGGCCGATGCTGGCCAAGAAAGTCAGTACGGCCAACCAAAAAGACAGCAGTACAGGAAGGTGCGGAAGTCCTTTGCCACCAGCACACTTCTAAAGTGCACAGTCATGGACAGACATTTACACAGGGTCGTGGGCCCGTGTCGTACTGTGCGAGCGGGCGTCCACATCTACCCAGTACACCCCCAGCACACCGGGTCTCCCCCAGCGCAGCTCCTTGCTGTCTTCAGGCGGCCCAGTAACTAGGGAGGACTTTACAGCAACTCTTGAGGAACTTTAAAGGGGAACTCAAAGAGGGCGTAAAGGGGAAGACTTGAGGGACGGCCTTAAAGGGGGGACTCAAAGTGGGACTTAAATCGTGCTTAAAAGGGGTGTTTAGGGGTGGGGGGGGGTAAAAAAGGGGCTTTGAAGGGGGCTTGAAGTCCAATTGCTGAGCCCGTAACCAAGAATTACCTTTGTAGGACGATAGGACTTGGGCTGGTTAGTGGCGGGTTGTTGAGAAGAAGAAGACTAGGAGGAGGGACAACGCTTTGAATCATGTTGTACTTCCGTTCGGGTATTTAAATGGTCTGTGTCCCGAAGTTCGCTGTGGGAGGTCTCCTCCCATCTGTGGCGGCCTCGCGAAACGAATCCGACGATTGTCATCTGCCATTGGTTGGTGGCTTTGATGTTGGTGTCAGTGTCTTGGCTCGAACCGAACGTGTAGGCTCTCTTGATCGTGAAGAGTTGGCCATTTTCGGTCTGCAACGCCTTCAACGTGGCAAGCGCGCTAACCTCGGAGTAATTGGGCTTCTGCGACACGATGCGATCGAAAGTTGACAACTCAAAGTCATCTTGGGCTCCCCACAGGGGAGATCACAGCCCGCCGCCATGACGGGAACAGACCGCTTTCGCTCACATCTGCGAGGCAGACGTTGAACTTCGAGCCTCTCGAAGCTCCTTTGCTTTTGCGTCCCAAGGCACATAAACGCAAGCCGAGCGGTGTCACATCAAAATGCAGACCCAGGTGCTTTGAGGGTAAGGAAAACATTCGGGCTTGTACAGCGCAGTTCACCACGTGACTGAACCATATACGGCTTGCGTGATCGAGGATATCACAAAGATTATGTTTCTCTGTGCAGGTACACCAGGGTAGCCACGGCGGCCATGTCGTGGGACCATCGCACATAGCAACTGGATGGTCCCCCTGCTGGATTTGGTGTAATACATCCGCAGATGTAAGTCCAGAATTCATCTAAACATCGGAAAGCAATCTCAGTAGATCACGTCCAACCCGTTTTCGTTACACGTCACCCATCGTACAGCATGAACATCGGGGGTTCGCCCTACGGCCGCCCCTGCTCTCTGCCTTGATGTCGGGGTGGACGCTGCATCACCGGGTGTCGGGCGTAGGTCGCTGCCTCTCTCTCTCTCACTCCCCGACCCGGTGGCTTGCTGTGCCGCGGTGGTTGTTTTTGCTTGCTGTTTTGGACGTGTTCAGAAGCAACACACTCCAAAGAATTGAGGGCTGTACAGAACTGGAGCACATATGTCAGAGGACGGCAATCCTTTAAGAACCTACAGGTGAACACACCAATTTGTCGCATGAACATGGGCTGCAGACTCCAGTCGTAAACTGCTTGGGTGTGCACAAACACTGTTTGGCTCGCCAGAATTTTTTCCCGGATTTAGAACAGCATTTTTTACGTAGAATGTATACGAAGTCCTTGGGGAATTAGAAATTGAATTGAGCACAACGCTCCGCAACGAAGAAAGCGTTGAGTTGCAGGTTGAATGAAATTTCTAGCGCATGCCAGGGGTCGAGTTATACCGTTGGTATTTCTGCAACAATGGCTTGGTCAAGTGAGTCTGAATGTGTCTGAATGAGGAGGGGTCCAAAAGAGAAGCACGTTAAACGTGACTTCAAAAGTTTATGCATGGCTGCTCGAAAGATGCTTGAATCTGCAGTTGTTGGCATGAGGGTGCAAGTATCGCATGATCCGACGGCTTCGTCACGGCAGTTTTCAAGTCATTTCAAAGGTTCCAAGCTTTTGGCTTGTTTTTTCGGAGTTCGGGGGCTGGGGAGGGGTAGGTCCGATGATTTGCCGTTTGAGGCGCAGTGTAGCTTAAGAGTATAAAATCTCCTGGCCAGCAGCCATGGCAGCCATGGCAACCATGGCAGCGATGGTCATATGGCATCTTTTGCTGAAGAGCGCGTCCGGCTTTGCCCACGATGACACATGCGCCATGCAGCTCGGCCGAGTCAACAAGACGTTCACGGCCAAAGGGGAAGACTCGCAAGACCTCGCGGGCCAACTGGAGTTCGAAGTGGATGCGACCCTCGCGGGCCAGTACTGCGTGGATGGAACAGCTTTGGCCACAGTCGAGAAAGCGAGCCTGGCCGAGTGCAAGTCCGTGTGCAGCGTACTTTCAGGGTGTCGTTACCTCGCGTACCTCGATCTCGATAAACCCGCCTACAGGCTCGGCATGATCTCTGAGAAGAGGCCGCGTTTCCGCCAGAGGGTCAGGGCCAAATATTGTTCAGTGCAGTGCCGCTTCTTTTCCAGCTGCGCAATGCCAGTGCATTCCAACTGTGTGGTTGGCCCGACGATGTATGTCGTCATAGGGGCACGTTCCACCACCACCACCACGACTGCCGCCACAACCACCAGCACCACCAGCACCACCAGCACCACCAGCACCACCAGCACCACCAGCACCACCAGCACCACCAGCACCACCAGCACCACCACCAGCACCACCAGCACCACCAGCACCACCAGCATCACCAGCACCACCAGCACCACCAGCACCACCAGCACCACCAGCACCACCAGCACCACCAGCACCACCAGCACCACCAGCACCACCAGCACCACCAGCACCACCAGCACCACCAGCACCACCAGCACCACCAGCACCACCAGCACCACCAGCACCACCAGCACCGCACCACCAGCATCACCAGCACCACCAGCACCAGCAGCACCAGCAGCACCAGCAGCACCACCAGCACCACCAGCACCACCAGCACCACCAGCGCCACCAGCACCACCAGCACCACCAGCACCACCAGCGCCACCAGCGCCACCAGCACCACCAGCACCACCAGCACCACCAGCGCCACCAGCACCACCAGCACCACCAGCACCAGCAGCACCAGCAGCGCGACAGCGACCACCACAACAACAACAACAACCCCCAGCCCGACGACCACGACAGCCACCCCCACCGTGACCACCGCCACACCCACCACAACACTTCCTGCAGCTTGGCTTTTTGGCCTTGGGGGGCGGTTGATTTAGGTTTCTAAAGGCTCTTTCAGGCCTGTCATGGTTTGGGGGCCAGGAAGCTCACAGCTTTCAGAACTACTAGCATCATCAGCGGCAGTGCAAGCAGGTACCAGTTCAACAGTGGAGGAATTTTTTTCAGCCGCGCCCTGCTGGATGACATGCCTACCGTTGTATACTTGACTCTTGTCCGTGGGGAAGCACGTAACATGTGGAAAGGCGAATCGTTGCACGAAACAAGAAGCAAGTTGGAACAATGAACCAGGCCCTGCGGCAAGAGCGCTGCAAGCCTTTGGAACTCTCGGCTTTTCAGCTTTGAGCCCAAAATGAGACCCCCACCAGACCCCAAAGTCATCTGCAACCCCTGACGCACTTTGCCAAGGCGGCAAGCCTCCACGATGACTACACGGCGAGCACGTTTGCCTCAGGTGACCTGGCGGACTATAACTCACCAGGCGGCCTTGGAAGGTGGACTTTCGCAACGTCGAACAGCCACATTCCAGGGACAGGGACAGAGACGATGCTGCAGTATACAACACAGGCAAACGGTGTGCGAGCACCGAATTGTTTCATCACCCCGAACGCTTTGGGACCGCTGGACATGCCAGGCATTGGCACAAGCACCGGTGTGCTCATTACTCCAGAGGGCAGTGAAGGGAAAGCGGACGACAATTCTCTTGCTATGCATCCTGGCAACCACCCTGACGAGCAATACCTCAAGGTGAAGTTCACAGCAGCGCACGCAGTGAATGTGGCTGGCTATGTCAAAGAACTGGGTGCGCATTGCGGAGGTATCGACGTGTGGATGTTCAGGGGCTCGACGCTGATCACCGCTGCGAGCGCCCTCAACGATGACACCCCCTTCACGTTTCCTGCCACCACCGTTGCAGCTGGCTCCACGCTCACAATTTCCGTGGGGCCGAACGGAATTTTCAATTGCGATCACTCCTCCCTCTCTCTCACAATCACAGATGACACCGACGCCACCACCACCACGACCACCACAACACTTCCCGCCGCTTGACGCTTGATTTAGGGCGTTGGACCTTGGACCCTGGTTTCTTTGGCGTTGTTGACTTAGGTCCTTGTGTGTGTAAAGGTTGTTTCAGACCTGTCATGGTGATGCCGGGCACTTCCTTAACCATGTGGGGGGAAACAAGACGCAAGTTGGAACAATGAACCAGGCCCTGCGCAAGCCTTTGGAACTCTCGGCTTTTCAACTTTGAGCCCAAAATGAGACCCCCACCAGACCCCAAAGTCATCTGCAACCCCTGACGCACTTTGCCAAGGCGGCAAGCCTCCACGATGACTACACGGCGAGCACGTTTGCCTCAGGTGACCTGGCGGACTATAACTCACCAGGCGGCCTTGGAAGGTGGACTTTCGCAACGTCGAACAGCCACATTCCAGGGACAGGGACAGAGACGATGCTGCAGTATACAACACAGGCAAACGGTGTGCGAGCACCGAATTGTTTCATCACCCCGAACGCTTTGGGACCGCTAGACATGCCAGGCATTGGCACAAGCACCGGTGTGCTCATTACTCCAGAGGGCAGTGAAGGGAAAGCGGACGACAATTCTCTTGCTATGCATCCTGGCAACCACCCTGACGAGCAATACCTCAAGGTGAAGTTCACAGCAGCGCACGCAGTGAATGTGGCTGGCTATGTCAAAGAACTGGGTGCGCATTGCGGAGGTATCGACGTGTGGATGTTCAGGGGCTCGACGCTGATCACCGCTGCGAGCGCCCTCAACGATGACACCCCCTTCACGTTTCCCGCCACCACCGTTGCAGCTGGCTCCACGCTCACAATTTCCGTGGGGCCGAACGGAATTTTCAATTGCGATCACTCCTCCCTCTCTCTCACAATCACAGATGACACCGACGCCACCACCACAACGACCACCACAACACTTCCCGCCGCTTGACGCTTGATTTAGGGCGTTGGACCTTGGACCCTGGTTTCTTTGGCGTTGTTGACTTAGGTCCTTGTGTGCTTGTGTGTGTAAAGGTTGTTTCAGACCTGTCATGGTGATGCCGGGCACTTCCTCTAACCATGTGGGGGGAAACCAGGCCCTGCGGCAAGAGCACTGCAAGCCTTTGGAACTCTCCGCTTTTCAACTCTGAGCCCAAAATGAACCAGACCCCAAAGTCATCTGCAACCCCTGACGCACTTTGCCAAGGCGGCAAGCCTCCACGATGACTACACGGCGAGCACGTTTGCCTCAGGTGACCTGGCGGACTATAACTCACCAGGCGGCCTTGGAAGGTGGACTTTCGCAACGTCGAACAGCCACATTCCAGGGACAGGGACAGAGACGATGCTGCAGTATACAACACAGGCAAACGGTGTGCGAGCACCGAATTGTTTCATCACCCCGAACGCTTTGGGACCGCTGGACATGCCAGGCATTGGCACAAGCACCGGTGTGCTCATTACTCCAGAGGGCAGTGAAGGGAAAGCGGACGACAATTCTCTTGCTATGCATCCTGGCAACCACCCTGACGAGCAATACCTCAAGGTGAAGTTCACAGCAGCGCACGCAGTGAATGTGGCTGGCTATGTCAAAGAACTGGGTGCGCATTGCGGAGGTATCGACGTGTGGATGTTCAGGGGCTCGACGCTGATCACCGCTGCGAGCGCCCTCAACGATGACACCCCCTTCACGTTTCCTGCCACCACCGTTGCAGCTGGCTCCACGCTCACAATTTCCGTGGGGCCGAACGGAATTTTCAATTGCGATCACTCCTCCCTCTCTCTCACAATCACAGATGACACCGACGCCACCACCACAACGACCACCACAACACTTCCCGCCGCTTGACGCTTGATTTAGGGCGTTGGACCTTGGACCCTGGTTTCTTTGGCGTTGTTGACTTAGGTCCTTGTGTGCTTGTGTGTGTAAAGGTTGTTTCAGACCTGTCATGGTGATGCCGGGCACTTCCTCTAACCATGTGGGGGGAAACCAGGCCCTGCGGCAAGAGCACTGCAAGCCTTTGGAACTCTCCGCTTTTCAACTCTGAGCCCAAAATGAACCAGACCCCAAAGTCATCTGCAACCCCTGACGCACTTTGCCAAGGCGGCAAGCCTCCACGATGACTACACGGCGAGCACGTTTGCCTCAGGTGACCTGGCGGACTATAACTCACCAGGCGGCCTTGGAAGGTGGACTTTCGCAACGTCGAACAGCCACATTCCAGGGACAGGGACAGCGACGATGCTGCAGTATACAACACAGGCAAACGGTGTGCGAGCACCGAATTGTTTCATCACCCCGAACGCTTTGGGACCGCTGGACATGCCAGGCATTGGCACAAGCACCGGTGTGCTCATTACTCCAGAGGGCAGTGAAGGGAAAGCGGACGACAATTCTCTTGCTATGCATCCTGGCAACCACCCTGACGAGCAATACCTCAAGGTGAAGTTCACAGCAGCGCACGCAGTGAATGTGGCTGGCTATGTCAAAGAACTGGGTGCGCATTGCGGAGGTATCGACGTGTGGATGTTCAGGGGCTCGACGCTGATCACCGCTGCGAGCGCCCTCAACGATGACACCCCCTTCACGTTTCCCGCCACCACCGTTGCAGCTGGCTCCACGCTCACAATTTCCGTGGGGCCGAACGGCGTTTTCAATTGCGATCACTCCTCGCTCTCTCTCACCATGACATCAGGTTAAAGGTATGGAAACGGCAGAGCGTTTGTGACGCGCGAGCTGGATCGAGGACATGGTCAGTTGCAGAGTCGTTTCACAGTTGCGCGGGGGATCCCTGCAGAAGCGAGGATTTCCTAAATTGTTTTGCTAGCGGGCTGGAGCAACACACTGCCACGGATCAGAAAGGTTTCGGGGCTTAGTTCTTTCGAGCTACTGTTCAAGGACATGCTGATAGACCATTTGAACATGGCAGGATGATTCTGCCCGTGTCTCCGAATGCGCAGTTCTTTTAAAGTTGCGGCCGTGCCGTGCCTACACCACCAGGGTTCATCCCGCGAAAAGTGCCAAAAATGATCTCCCATGGCAGAGTGCAGCCGTGGATGGCGCTGTATTGCTCGCGGCTGCGTCAGGGCGCCAGGCCTTCCGGGTTGCAGGCTAAACCCTAAACCCTAAACCCTAAACCCTAAACCCTAAACCCTAAACCCTAAACCCTAAACCCTAAACCCTAAACCCTAAACCCTAAACCCTAAACCCTAAACCCTAAACCCTAAACCCTAAACCCTAAACCCTAAACCCTAACCCTAAACCCTAAACCCACCTGAAGGGGCACTTCCTGGAACTCACAGCTCTACTCCACTGAAGTCATGTTCGGGTTGAGGAGAGTTTCGGCACAGGGTATCTCCTTTCAAAGCCTTGACACTTACAAGGAATAGTCCCGTGGAGAGTCCCGAAGAGCCCGATCCCCCATTGGAGTGCACTCAGACTCTCAGGAACCCAAGGATGTTGCTACTGCATCCCCCTGCTGCACGTCGAATCGCTTGATGTTGTGGCGGGAGTTTACGAAAATAGGGGACCCCCCCTAAAATAGACCCCCAAATAGTAGGAATCCCGTTATCATAAGGACTTTTCAAGAAGGTACCCCTTTGCAAGCAGACCCCCATGTTGGTGACTCCCCAACCCCCAGCTCCCTTTTTCGCCTTTCTGTGGTGATGGGCCAATGTTTCCATGTGGTTTGGGCATGAGAACGTTGGCCCAAGCTTCGAGCTCGGGAGAAGGACCCCCTCGTGCGAATCTCGACTCCCTGAGTTGCATGCTCGCCATGCTGCTGCTGGATTCGTCTGTGAGACTTGGGGGGCCACTGCTCTTCATCTCTTCATCTCCCCAACATGTACAGAGTTTGCCTTCGTAGGTCATGGGGATGCTTGGGATGCAAAGTGTTTGAAAGCCAAGCCGGGAGATGCTTTGTTGATTCAACACTGTCACTGTTTCTACCACTGTCTCTAGACTATTTTCTCTTGTTCGCGTTTCTCTGTGAGCTTCGTGTCGTGGAGCATTCAGGAACCCCTTCGCCCTTTCCATATAAGGCTGCACCATCAGGCTTTGTCTGGGCCCATCTGATGAAAAGTCATGCGTGCATCATAAGTTATGCTGGCACTAGAGCTTGCCATATTTTGCTGCTTTCATCTTTTGGGCAAACACCGAATCCACTGCAAACACCAACGTGGGCTGCCTCTGCGCTGTTTCCGCTCATGTCTTGAACAACCACGGCCGTCTAGACGCCGTGTACCAAGATGTACCAAGCAGTTCCTAGCTCTGAACAGAGAGTGGTGTAGTTTCCACATTGCCCATTGAATTTTTGAAGCACCAGAAAGGTTGGTTCCTTTGTAGCTTGGCTCAAGCTGACCGAGGTAGTTTGCCTTTCCAGTCGGGAGGCTTTCGGGTTGAGGGGGTTAATCGGGGTAAAAACTGGGTTCCAGGCCAGCCAACCCGTTCATCCGTTCATGCTTTCGGCTGTGCCGATGAATTGAAGGCAACCATTACTATGATAATGTTTTTTCGGTGCAACCTTGAACATGACACATGCTAACTTCATGCTATTACATGCTATACATGTCATGCACTCCTTCAGGTTCAGGAGCGTTTGTTGCTTGCGACCGGGCCGGTTGCGCATGGTCCCTGCAAGCCATGGCAAGGAGACGGACTGCATCAGCAACATGCCAGCACTGTGCAAGGCACTGCACCACGCCCCGTCGCATGTTAATCCCGAACAGAGTTCCTTTTGCCCCATGTCAATGTGTGTCAATGTCCCCCCCGAGAGTAGCACCGCCCCTTGCCTGTGCTATGTCGAGGCTGAACAACTCAACGTTCAAGCCCTGCACCCTCACAAAGGAAAGAGGGGTGCAGGACGGTGTAGCCACGGTGTAGGACGGTGTAGGAGGTCGAAGCCGCCTCTGTGGAGCACTAGCCTTGGAAGCCCCCCCCCCCAACACCTCGACTTCAACGTCTCTGTGAAACTCCGAAGCTGGCGACCAAGGTACGGTAATTCCCATGAAGGCCAGCGAGAAGATGTCGAAGATGTCGAAGATGTCGGAGCCCCAACTTTGACTCAGGGGTAGGATATGCAATTTTTTGGGAGTGTGGGATTCGGAACATATCTTGGACTCCTGACAACAGTGGTGACTTCTTATGCAGCTACAACGTGGTTAAATGGCTCCTGAGCTTCCAAGTCTCCATGTCCGCAGCAATCTCTGTGACGCTGAAAAAGAGAACTCTGTTTAAACAGAAACCGCAGGCCGCAGGCCATTTTTTTGGCCACCCTTCTGTCTAAACCCCACGCACATCCAAGCTCGCCGTCTAAGTCTGAGTTCATTGATTTTTGCGTCTCCCAAGATCACCTAGGGTTTTACGAAGCTAGGGGATACTAGGGGTACCTGATTGGGGTCCTGATTATAAGAGGGGGTCCCTTATTATCTACAAGAGGGCCTTGTGAATTGGTGCAGGTCCATTGCGCTTGGGCTGGGCGCCCTGCAGCGCCAGCGGCGGCTCCCGCTCCCTGGCGAGTCTGTGGAATGAGTGTGGTATGAGGAATGAGGATTTAAATGGGCCAGGGTGTTTTAAACGTGCTCTCAGGGTTCCGCATGTGCGTCAAAAGGTTCACATAGATTCTTCGTCATGCCCATCAAGGCAATCTGAGGCAGCTAATCCGAACTTGGCATGTGTTTATATCGAGAATCGTTCTCAGAAAGCTTTTGGAACATGCAATTGGAGCTGAATTGAGAAGATCTGGGAAGGCCGCGTCAGGTGCGTTCAGGTCCGGTAGCCGGCAGGCGGTTGAAGCGGTTTTTCGAATGACTGGTGACTTCTCCCGAGCAATCCCCGACCTCCGACCAGCAATCTCCTCATTCAAAAACGTCTGAGTCCGAAGTGTCATGGGTGGCATATAACTTTGTGGTACTTTGCTGTAACTTTAGATCCTTAGCCTTTTTGGGTTTTTTGGGTGTCTTAATAAGGCAGCTAAAAGTTTAATGTATAGCTACCCTACTAAGTGCAGCCAAGATAAGAACATCGCACATCATAGCACATCATAGCACATCATGGCACACTTCTGCTCGTCATGGCAGGTTTTCGGCGAGCGCCCTGTTGCTGCTTGCGTCGCTCCCCATGGCGTCCGGGGACTCGCATTTGTCAGGGTTTGACTGTGCGGAGCTTGAAGATTTTGGACCAGACCTACGAATTGAAACTTCAATGGTTTGTTGTTTTGAGGGGATGTGACGTCCTCCGTGGCCAGGTTAGGCGTAAAAGTGCAAGACGGATCAGACGAATCAGTGGGCTCTCTTCTGTGCGTGTTCTCTGCCTGGCTTTTTGTTATTCCTCGTTCCGAAGAGTCTTGCGGCATGTCGCACCATCCGTCAAGTCCGAGTAGGTTCCGCAAACTCCACAGCGAGGTTGAGCTCCACCCTCTCCGGCATTGCCCACGTGTCGGAAGTCACCAATGCGGGCCGCTGAGGGAAGCAGCCATCAAGCAGCGCGGAGGGGTGCCGTTCTCCGTAGAAAAACAAGCTGTTCAGCACTCAACGAGCACCGGTTGTGTTCGAGGGGAATTGGTCTCCAGGGCATCCCCTACCAAGCGCCTCTCATCGAGCCGCTGAACCGCCTCGGCGTCCAGGAGAGGGCCAAGTTGTTCTTCGGACAAGGGGGACCTTTTTCTTTTTTGCGTCTCAGAGGGCGGTAGAGGGCTCCTTCGCGATCCCGAGTTGGCACCTTCCAAGCACGGGCAGGGACAGAGTGCTGCCATAGTTGGCACGCGCACCACGAAACAGTTGAGAAAGAACAAGGGTAAAGACTCGAGACTCCCTTTTTGTCAACCAGGAAGACACGGCAGCCAAGAACATGTCCCAGTTCGTCCACATTGGTTGCTTTGTCGTTGGAGCCTGAGAAACAACGAATTTGCCGAAAAAGTTCCTGAAGCCATCAGAATCATCTTGCCAATCTGACGCATAAGGCTGATGCGCCTTGAATATTCGGGTTGCAGCGTCTTTCAGCTGAGCCGGATCCCTTTGAATGGAAGGCTTCCCTTGGCATCACCCGAGATGCGGAGCAGGAGGGGTAAACCGAGAGTGTTCCAGTGTTGTTGTTTCGGCGTTTTGGGGTCGGGGTTGTCAAGGCCGGGCCCAGGCGGCGCAGTACGGAGAGTACAGGGGATAGTACAGGGTTGGGGAAAGAAGATTGAGAGTTGAGAGTTTGTGGCTTCCTGTGTCAAGGCTCCCCCGTGCCCAATCCCAGAGCTTTCTGTGACTAAGCTGGCAAGGACACGCACTTCGACCCGAGCGCCTGCGTAGATGTCGCGGGCTCCGGATTGTGTCTGTCGTATTGTGTCGTAGTACGCATGCCGTACACGCCCTGCATCACGCCCTGTCCAAGGTGTGCCGGACCCGCTACCCCAACGCCGCTCTGAAGGTCTCGGAGTCACATGGTGACGCAACCCCCGATACCACACAATGCCCCGCAATACCCCACAATACCCCGAAACACACACCGAAGAGCCACCAGAGAGCCACCAAAGAGCCACCAAAGCTGGGAGTGCCCGCGAGGACATTGCGGTAGCTGTTCACGGCCCACGGTGTGGCTGCGCACTAGGAGCTCTCTACGACGCTGGAGACCCAGCTTCCCAAAGTGAAAGGCAGTTGCTGGTCCGACCACGCACAGCGGGCACACGTGTTATTCATGCGGGTCATGAGCCACCGGTCTGCAGAAATCAATGGCATGCGGGCAAGGACTTCAGGGTTATAAAGGACGGTTGAACGCATGTTCGGCCCAAATGAAGACTGAGCCCCTTCTCTTTGTGGGTTGGGGTTCATGGTGGAGTGGAGCCTAAATCGCTGGCCTAAAGCAGCATAAGCTTTAGGCCTGAACCCCAAAACCCTCCGGACAACTTCCCAGCTGCAGACCTTCACCGAAGCCGACCCCATCTTCTGCACGTACCAATGCAAGTTCTATGAGAACCCCATTTGCGGGGGTCCGCCCTCGTTTTGGGGAGTGGGGCACTCAGTACAGCTTGGACACTGCACGTGGATGTCCAGCGTGCAAGAACGTAGGAACGTAAACAAACGGTATCCGGCGGTATGGAACCCGGCAAAGCCCAGGTTTTCGTTCAGTTCGACTTTCAATCTTACGCCTCTCATGGGGCCTATGACCCGTGGCGGAAGATCTGGTGCCTTTGCCTTCGTTGGGGTCGGGAATTTGCCGGGCTCGGGCAGATTTCATTCAAAGAGTTCTTGTGAGCAAGTGAGCGAACAGCTTCTATCAGCAGCTGCAGTTCCCAAAAGCCCAAAGGAAGATGTTGAGTGCAAGCAGACGGCGCTCTGATTTACCTTCGCCCAACGACCCCTTACGTCGGGGGCCGGAGGTACTCCATCGTTGCGGTGCGCGAGTCCACGATCCGTGGGGAGGAGGCGCGAGTTTCCGCACTCGAATCGTAAGGAAAGCAGCATGGCAAGACATGTGTAGCATCGTGCCGTCTGGAGATTCTAACAAGAGAGCTGACGAGAAAGCATGCAGTACATCAGGTAATGTCTGACTGCGTGCATCTTGCGTCGGTAGCCTCTGCAGATACCAGATCTGGGATTCGTTCACCCAAAGTTGCAGAAAGAAACGCGAGAAGATGATGGTCAAGGTGACAACACTCTCGTAGAGCTCAGTGAGTGGTGTCAACTCTTGGGCTGTAACCGCCAAGATGTTGGTATCCCGATAGCAATAGACCCCCCCCCTTCGCCCCCCTTTCCCCACCGCCCATCTCCCCCTTCTGCAAAAAAGGCTTGGAATCCGGATCGTCAGCACCGAGCTCAGCTGATACAACGTTGTGTTGACACACAGGAGCCCATGGGTTTAGAACAGCATGTGTTTCTGTATGCGGATTTCGGAAAAACACATGGATGTTTAAGCAAGGGCAATATAAACAAGTAGTGGTATCCTGTCATATCATGGCAACACACACACATACATCGCTTTGTCGTTTCGGAAAAGAGGACGAGCACAGAGACCAAACTCTTCGTTTCATAAATCAGAGCGAGGGCCGCCCCCCTCAATAACGGAGGGGTACAACTGTGATTTGGGGGATGGTGGCGGTGAGTTGTGACAGTTAGAAATTCGCTTTTCCATCTCTCGGCAAGCGTCGAAGTGGACAGTGAACACGCAGTGGACGATGGTGGGCGCGAGAGGGGGAGAGAGTGAGACTCTTAGACGTCTTAGACACAAAGTTGCAGAGTGCTCCCGAAGCCCCAAGAAATTCAAGCCAAATGCCAGTCGATGATCCCCAATGCAAGGCTGGATCCCGAGCGCTACTACCTTCATGCTGCCTCGGTCCAGACGGGCCAAGCGGCGCTGGGGACCTGGGAAAGAGTGGCCTGTTCAGAGAGTAAGTGGCTTGGTATTGTCATGTGTTGTCCTTGCTTGTGATGGGTTGGGGATGTGGGGTGTTCTCGGCATGTCTTCGATCCAGAAAGGGGAATGCGCTCTCTGCCACGGGAATCGTGCTAGACAAGCTCTGCGCGTAATAAGAGGCTAGGGGCTGCAGGCAAGGCCGCTGGTGTTTTCTGCTCGAGCTGCTGGCTAGGAGCAATACCGACGCCTCCCCGCATGCTTCTGCATCCACAAGCCCCCATAAACCGCCCGAACCGCTTGAAAACAGCTTTAACATCCTCTAACCCGCAGCTGACTAGGTCTGCATATGGTGCTAGGTCGTACCTTGAGAATCGTCCCATTGCACTGCCAAGCAGCAGTAGGCGGGTATCCTTGCTACCTCGCAACAAAGAGCCCATGGCCTTAACACGTCCCCGAGCCGCCCCAAGCCCTCAACCTGAAAGCCTGGCACCCTGCACGCTGCCTTTGGCAGAAGCCCGGCTTGTACAGCCTTTGAGCTGCCATGCCCATTGGCAAGATTCGGTGCGCCGTCTTTGATCTGGACGATACGCTGTGGAACACCGCCCCTCGGACACGCAGAGTGGGGATGTGTGGCAGCCATGTGGCAGTGGGGGCTTGCGCTTTGGCCCGGTGGGTTTTTGCACGTTTGCAATACATATGTTGTGAACACGATCCCCCGCCGCAGTCACTATGCAAATCGCGACAGGCAGCTTGCGCATGGTTTACCTTTGTTTGCTGATTATTGGGTGGAGTTGACACGATACGTATTATATGTATATGTATATATATATATATGAGCCTGAGACCTTTAGGGTTCTTTTGGCTTAGTTTTTACATAGCCACTGAAAAAAGTAAAGCAAAACTAAAAAAAAAAAAATATATGGAACGATATATGAGCGCGTCCACCACGTTCTTTTGCATCGCTCCAAGAAGTCGTTTTATGCAATGGCTGAAGAGATGGCACTGCATGTATGCATACAGCCGTTTAAGGCTACAGAAGGGCCCTCTGAACCATCAACCCTAAACTCTAAACTCTAAACCCACGAAGGCCTTGTATCACTACACACGTTCCACGCGAAAAAAACAGAGCGTAAGGAATGTGAAAGGGGTGTAAGGGGTGTAAAAGGTGTTAGGGGTGTTAGGGGTGGAAGGGGTGGAAGGGGTGGAAGGGGTGGAAGGGGTAGAAGGGGTGTAAGGGGTGTAAGGGGTGTAAGGGGTGTAAGGGGTGTAAGGCGTGTAAGGGGTGCAAGGGGTGCAAGGGGTGTAAGGGGTAATACCGTACCGCACCGTATCGGAAAGAACAATACTTCCAATACATATTCGGAAGTAAAACCAAGAAGTATAGTATCGTACCGTCTCGGTTCACGACAGCCATGTTTAACGTATTGCTTTTGTTTGGCCTGATGTTTTTTGTTGCCTGTCCTTAACAATAGAATAGAACAAGGGCTTTTTTGTAAACCTTACTGCGTTATCAACATCGAAATGAAAGGCTTTTTGTAAACTCTACTGTGTTCTCAACATCAAAAGTCAAACAGCTTTACGTAAACCATGGCGCGCCTGCAACGTTCAAACCTAGTTTTTTAAACCGTATAGTGTGTGTGTGTGTGGCCACTCCCGAACTGCACGAGGGAGAATTGTTGCATCTTGCAGGGGAGTGCGGCATGACTGTGGGACCGTGCTCAACGAAGCTACCGCAGTCATGGGATACCGAGTCTGATCAACTCGGCGTACCTGCGCAGTGATATGTTACATCATGTATTATCTTCGCTGTATCTTGCTGGAACAATCGCTGTTGTCCGCTAGCATCCTCTAGTATCAGCCCCTTGGTCTGCATCTTAAGTAACTTGGATTTGACGAAGACGCCGGCGATCTCAGCATCGAACAACCAAAGAACACTCCAGTGTGCGGACGCATGTCCAATAGGCGGAGGGCCCAGTGGTGCACCGTCTTGATCCCTTCGGGGCAATGGAGGAAATAGATGAGGTTTACCTCCCGGTCGGCACTTACGTGCAAAGAAGTTAAGATGATCGGCGAAAGCCAAAGCAGCCCCCGGGCAAAGTACGCTGGTCACAAAGTACCCAAATGTCCCCTGGATCTCTCGTTGTCGTTTCCCTTTCTTGTGTCTGTCACGTGTGTTTTGTTCTTCGGGTTTCTCTCTTCCTTTCCGTTTCCTTTGCTGATTCCTCCTTCTTCGTTCTCTCACCTTCAGGTACCGGGACGGGAGGACGGGCAAGTTGCCACCAATTTGGGGTTTTTCCCTCGGATAGGCTTCCGGGCCGACAGTATCTCGAGACAATGCGGTCATCCTCCTCGCCGCGAAGAAGCCTCGGTGCCTTGGTTTGTGCCGTGGTGACTTTCCTCGAGCCAAAGCACGGTGTGAGCAGTAGACATATCTCGGCGAATTAGGCACGAGCCTCTGGGCCTTGGTAAAGCTCCCCCGGGACTCGCTTGAGCACACATTCCATGCGTGCAGCTGACATAGCCTTTGTGTGAGTTTCAGCAAATTGGATATGAGCCTCGGTGCCTTGGTTTGAGTTTGATGACTGTCTACGCATGACACTTGCAGCAGATTTAGCCTTGTGTGAGCCTCGGCGAAGTAGCTGTGAGTATCGGTGTCTTGGTTCGCGCTGCTTCCTATTTGCATTATCCGCCGCACTGCGGCGGTGTGTGTGTGGCCACTCCCGAACTGCACGAGGGAGAATTGTTGCATCTTGCAGGGGAGTGCGGCATGACTGTGGGACCGTGCTCAACGAAGCTACCGCAGTCATGGGATACCGAGTCTGATCAACTCGGCGTACCTGCGCAGTGATATGTTACATCATGTATTATCTTCGCTGTATCTTGCTGGAACAATCGCTGTTGTCCGCTAGCATCCTCTAGTATCAGCCCCTTGGTCTGCATCTTAAGTAACTTGGATTTGACGAAGACGCCGGCGATCTCAGCATCGAACAACCAAAGAACACTCCAGTGTGTGTGCGCAACTTCAAAATCGAACTGTTTTGTTGTAAACCTTGGTGTGCCCTCAGCAGTAAAAATATTTTTTGTTATTAACCTTACTGTGTTATTAACATCGGAACTAACGGTTTTTGTAGTCCCTACTGTGTTCTCAAAATCAAAGTCGAGAAGTTTTGTGAAAACCATGATGCGCCTGCAACGTCAAAAGAGAAAATTTGTTTGTAAATCCGACAGTGTGTGCGCAGCTTTAAAACAACGAAAGGTTACGTTTTTTGATGAACACGGGTATGTCCTCAGCACCAACAACGAAATTTTCTAGTTCTCGGCATAATACGCGGTTGTTTTGCTGATTCGCGCGTTCGGGCGTCACACGTGTAGTTTTGCTTTTTGCTGTGTTCTGGCTTAATATGTGCTTTCCTTGCTTATTGGTGCGCCTTGGTTTAATGAATGTGTAGTTGTTTTGCTATGTGCAGCACCTTGACCGAATGTGTTGTTGTTTAGCTTATTGGTGCATCTGTGTGGTTTTCTCTTGCTTATTGGTGCATCTTGGCTTAATGCGTAGTTGTTTGGCTGCAGGCTGCTTTTGAGGTTGATGTCTGGCGGTACTGTTGATTGGTGCTAATAGTTTTCTTTACGTATTAAAAGACCTATTGTAAAGATTGAACATAAATATAAGAATACTGTGTACTGTGTATTTATACGTGGCTGACACTTTGAATCTTCTGCTAGCTTAGTGTTCATGTTTAAGATTTCTGATTTGGAAAATATGTGTTCCCTGCTGATTTTATGGAATGCTGTTCGTTCATATCTCCAACAAGCCACAGAATTCTCTACATCATTAGATTCTATAAATAAATGTACTTGGTTCTGTGAACTATCATTGATTTCATATGCATTTGCTTATGGATTTGATGGCGCTCCACTCGTGCATAGGTGGCACGAGCCACACATTCTCTACACCAAGAATTTCTATGAAAAACATGATTGGTTCTTCAAAACCTCATTGATGTCATATGTGGTGGCTTGTGGATTTGATCGCGATCCACTCATTCATAGGTGGCACGGGCCACAGAATTCTATACACCAAAAAAATATATAACTAAATTGATGGGTTCTTCAAACACTCATTGGTTCATATGGGTTTGCTTATTGACGTTATGATGTTCGGCTCATTCATATGCGCCAGGATCCACAGAAATCTCTACACCAGGGTATTCTATACATGAAATGACTGGTTCTTCGAACACTCGTTGATTTCATTCGTGTTTGCTTATTGACTTTGTGATGTTCGGGCTCATTCATATTGACAGCGGCCGAAGAATTCTCTACACCAGGATATTCTTTAAAAATGCTGATTGGTTCTTCAAACACTCATTGATTTCATATGTGTTTGCTTATTGACTTTTTGGCGTTCGGCTCATTCATATGTGGCAGGAGCCACAGAATTGATTCTCTACACCGGGATATTCTAGAAGTAACTTGACTGAGTTCTTCAAACAATCATTGATCTCATGTGCGTTTGCTTATGGATGGCGCTCCACTCCTTCATAGGTGGCACGAGCCGCAGAATTCTCTATGCCAGGGTATTCTATGCATAAACAGACGGGTTCTTCAAACAATCATTGGTTTCATATGTGTTTGCTTACTGACTTTATGATGTTGGGCTCATTCATATGTGGCAGGGGCCAGAGGGTTCTCTACACCAGGATGTTCTATAAAAAAACATTGGTTCTTGAAACACTCAGTGATTTCATACGTGCTTGCTTATTGACTTTAAGGTGTTCGGCTACAAGCTTTCCAGTACAAACTTTAAGCTTTAGACCATGTACTGCAATATACCAGACACTATGCTGCATACGATACTGTATACAATACTACATTCTATAGTAGACACTATAGAGATAATACTATAGTGTAGTACGATATACTATACTAGATATTTTTCGATATTGTCTGTACTAGATTCTATACTATATGCTATACTCTACTCTATACTCTCCTATAC